TCTGTTTCATTATGGCCTTACTAATGAACCAGTCTTTGGTAATTCCAAGAAATCCACCATTTTTTCTTTCTCTTTGTAATTAGCTGCATTTGTGTACTTTTCATGCAGCTTTAGCTCTGATACAATTAAAATGTGTAATCTCTTTGGGGTATTTCTTCTGAAGTGTACCGGATAACCCATGGAATGTGTTTTTTAGGTATCTTCTTTGTCTGAGAGTGAAGATTCTCAGGATTCATCAGATAGCATAGGCTCTTCACAGAAAGCTCGAGGCATCTTAGCTCGTCGTCCATCTTACCGGTAAGTACTGTATGTAATACATTTTGTATTTCTATTTGAAACCAAAACAGCAACTTCTTTCAATAGCTTCGTATATTGTCAGCCTCTAAGTTGTTTACTTTCTCTTGACCCATGCATTGGATCTGTTCACGCAGTAAACGTTTTGAGGATGCCACGTTAGTTAGCTGTCATTTGCTACAACAAAACTTTGACTTAACTGGAGATCAGCTTCAACATGATGTGGTATAGGGAAAATTGTTTATCAGCTGTAATTTTACTCAATTATATCATTTTACTGAAATGAGGAATGTAGTCAAATGCCAATCCTACCTTTGCGAATAATAAATGCTAGAAACTTAACACAAAATTTAGTATTTTTTTCCAATAATGTTCTCAAAATTTTAAAAGACAGTTTATGAACCTATCTGATACTCCTGTCTGTGATTATGGTTCCCGCTTCTGCCATTGCTTTTCATTTTTGACTGTTTTATCCACTCTTCTTAGTACTTTCTGATGGCTTTAGCTCATCTTGAATTATGTACCAGAACAAATAATTTAGGAGGGGTTTTATTACTTTGCATGCAGTCAAAAATGGTGGTGGAAAAGAGCAATTCTCAATCTTTAGTTAAAGTAGCCAGGAAAGGAAAATACATGCTGTAAACAGAGCTTCTGTGGGACAGCTGTTTAGCTGTGCAGGTTTGGGATCAAGAGTTGTCAGTTCTGCTTTTCTCTTCAGATAACTGCCACTAGTTCATCATTTGGCCTGGAGTAAGGGGCATAAAATTCAGGCTTCCATTGGCTCTTCTTTTAAATAGAGGTGTGTTTGTTTTCATAAGGTATTGTTACATAGGACATGGGTTGTTTGAGAAGCTGTGCAAGAGCTAAATTGAATGCAGAAAAGAAATGTAAAGTCCTACTGTGTATTGAAAGAGCAAAAGATCTACTTTTTAAACTTTTCTATAGTAATCTACTCCGGTTTAGCTTATTCTGACACCAGACAGCAAACTGGTTTTAATTGAATATACAAAGCCTATTCTTGAGAGAATTGGAGGATCAAGTCGTAAATCAGAAAAATCTCTTAATAGGCCAGTTATATATCCCTGGAAGATGTCTATGGTGGAAACTCTGATGCAGCTTTTACTGAAACGAAACGATGCAGCTGCAGTGCCAGTTTTCGGCACACTGTTTTTCTGGAGATTACTGAAATCTACTGTAAATGGTGCAGGTTCTCATTGCGGGCTTACCAGTCCAAACATCTAAGGCTTTCGGAGGATAATGATTGAAAATCTGGAATTCGTGCTGATCTGCACATACACATACTTTAGAAATCAGTAGCTGACTTGAGTTGCTCTTAGCTCATAAAATGATACAAATATTTAAATAAAAAAGCTAGACTATATAAACTGCAGAAATGTAGTTACAGAAAGAGTTTGAGGCAGTCACCTCATACAAAATGTTGTTAATTCAAAAAACTGTTGTACATTGGAATTTTAGCGTTTATTTCTGTAATACAAGATAGGGACAGTAGTTTGTAACTGTTATTGCAGTAATTGGTAATTTTTTCCTGGCATTAGAGCTGATAAAGAAACTCTTTTTTTATAGGAAAATTTTGAAGGATCTTTCTTCTGAAGATACACGTGATAGAAAAGGAGATGAGGAGAGTCCTGGTGTCTCTACTGTTACGTCTATGTCCGTTCCCACACCTATCTACCAGACAAGCACTGGACAGTACAGTACGTTATGCAAAATATGTGCCTAACTGGACACTTTTTTTAATTCAACTTGCCTCAAAATAGAGATTTTGTTACGTATTTGACTAAGATGAAACTCAGAAGGTTTGGTTATTTATCTAACAGTCAATAAAGTTAGTACTGTTATTACATGAAAATAGACTGGTATCTAAAGACTCCAGATAAACTCAATGCTTCATTATCTTAATTTTTGCACATTAAGACCAGACATTCGAAGGATGTTGTTAGGAAATAAATAGCAGTCCAAAATGTAAGATGAGTGAAGATACCATTATGTATATCATAGGGCCACACCAAAAGGTGTTCCTGTGATATCAGGGAGGTAACAAAAAAAAAAAAAAAGGATTTGTTCCTTTGATTTTATCACGTGGTATTCGTTGTGCTTGCACACCAAAAAGCAGCCCGCTCCGGCACCTGGAGCACCTCCTCTGCATCCTTGTTCTCTGAGCTGGGTGTTCATACTGCCGGTTCTCACTGCCACCCCTCGCTCCTTTGCCTGTCTGGATTTTTGCCCTTTCCTAAGCATGTTTCCACAGAGGAGCCACCAGCTGTGGCCAGCATGGGTCCACGTGGAGCTGGAGTCTGGCTCGGGGCAGTCCCAGACCTCTTCTCACAGAGGCCACTCCTGCAGCTTTATCTGTATGTTACAACCTGCAGCTACAAATATTGTTGCGCGTGTTCTTTTTTCTTTAAGTTGCCATTGCCGCAAATGGATTACAGCTGGCCAGCCCGGGTACAGATGGTGTGCAAGGTCTGCAGACGCTAACGATGACGAATGCTGGTGGTGCTCAGCCTGGGACAACAATACTGCAGTACGCACAAACATCAGATGGTCAACAGATACTCGTACCCAGCAACCAGGTGGTAGTGCAGAGTGAGTACACCTTCCCGAAACAGTGAGAAATACCAATCATGAACGCAAGCGTAACTTTCTAACGCTACCACGTTTTGATGTCTTATGCTATTGTCACGACAGCTGCGTCAGGAGACATGCAGACTTACCAGATCCGCACCACACCAACTACCACATCCCTTCCACAGACTGTGGTGATGACGTCTCCCGTCACTCTCACGTCACAGACAAGTAAGACAGATGATCCGCAGTTGAAACGAGAAATAAGGCTGATGAAGAACAGGTATGTAAGAACATGTGGGCTGCTTTGCTTTGAGAGTTTAATGTGCTGAAATACATCTTCAAAGGACAAATTATGAGTCTTGCGATCTAACTTTACTGATTGTGCCATTGGTATTGTGTGCTGCACCCAGCGACTCAAAACATTGGAAATTCTGACCAAAATGTGCTACGTGTTCTGTCTCACACAGTTTGGAGGAAACAAACTGGGTTTTCCCTGCAGATTGACTACCGTGTGTGTTACCGGATACTGCTGCATTTCATGCTCTCCACCCATCGCTGTGTACTTTTCAGGTTGTTTTGTTCATGATTGCAGTGCCAGCGCTCTCCTCTCATATTAGTCAGAATCCTAATGTTCATGAAATGGACACATCTCAAATCTAAAATAAACAATTGCTTCTGCTTGTCTGTTCCAGAGAAGCTGCTCGAGAATGCCGTAGAAAGAAGAAAGAGTATGTTAAATGTCTGGAAAATCGAGTTGCGGTCCTGGAAAATCAGAACAAAACTCTAATTGAAGAGCTAAAAACTTTGAAAGATCTTTACTGTCATAAAAGTGTGTAAGAAAAGAAGGTAAAACTTTTGTGGACTGTTTAAATTTCAGAGGAGAATTTTTTTTTTATACTGAATTTTTTAAACTAGATGAAAGGTCAAAAATGAAACTTTTCTACCTAGATTTCACAACTTAAAGACTATATAGATTTTATTTACAACATGTTGGTGACAAAGTACAAAAAGGAAACGAGAAAACCTCACCAAAATTCCTAAAAAAAAAAACTGGAAACTTTATATAAAGTCAAGATTGCATCTACAATAAAAGGACAGTCACGTTTTACGAGGCAGGTGATTAGAATTTCATTGAAAATTTCTACAAACACCTCTTGTAATGGAGGCAATATTTGGTTACAAGTAAAATGTGGATGAAATGGAATCCTTGCCATAGTTGACATTATTAGTAACATTTATAACCAGTATATGTTTTGATTTCTTACTCTTTTTCAATCCTTCCTTTTTCTTTCAGTTATTTGTATGTAAATATTTTTACTTTAACCTGTAAGTTGTTATTTACAGGTGCAGATGATAAAAAAAGCTAATACTTTGCTAGAGGTATAAATTATGTTTACTCTTTCTCAGCTGACAGTTTAAAAAGTTGGGTGTTTTGGTTTTTTTTTTTCCAATGTTTGCTGTGTTTATCAAATTTGGAAAGGATCTGCAGAAAGCAGAGAGAGGCGTAGTCCTGAAAATGTCTGAGGCACATGGGATAAGGTGTTGACTTTTCTTAAGAGAATTCAACACGTCCAGTTATTTCACAGTGCGGTGTGGTAGAGCGAGTACTGGTGAGCAGAAGTTTCTGAAGAACGGTTTCACAATAGTTTGTTCTTAGTTGCTGGGCATGATAAAACATCTATAATTGAAAAATAAATTGTGTGCTAATTATATAGACAATTAAACACGCGTTGCTTATTCTGTCTGGAGATTCTACTGTGCTTTGGAACATTTAAACCAAATAGAAGAAGAACGATAAAACAAAAAATTGAAGATATATACCAAAGGGTTAGTGAGGTTCTAATATATGGTTTATATGCTGAAATTAGTGCAAAATTTCCGGACTAATTTTGTAAGTTAGGCGATATTTTGCAAAGTAATGGTATCTTTGTAAGAAAATACTCTATTGAAAACAGGTAGATGGTTGGTATATTTTGTAGCTAAATTGTGATCTTTACAAATTCTGAAATTGAGTTTATATACGTATTTTGACAGTTTATATATTTCATTTTAGTAAACAAATGAAATATTTTGTGAACCAGATTTTCAAGCATATATTTTTATGGATAGTACAAAGTCAAATGAAATCCTCTTTGGTGTAGGAGATATTTGAATTAATTTTGTATGTCTGTAGGCAACTTGCAAAAAAATGGATCCTAAAGAGTAATGGGAAAAAGAAAAAAAAGAGATCAGGGCCTTTTATTCCCCACAGTTGATAATATCTGCACATTAGATCTGATTGCTATCAGAGATTCTAGTTTGTATGATTTTAATTTGTTTCAGGTGAAAATTAAATGTTTGACATGATCAGGACTCTCTTGGGTGTGGAATCTCCATCCTTGGAGATATTCAAAAGCCGTCTGGCCGTGGTCCTGGGCACCCTGCTCCAGGTGACCCTGCTTGAGCAGGAGGCCGGACAGGGTGACCTCCAGAGGTCCCGTCCAACCTCGACCATTCTGTGATCCTGTGATTCTGTGAAATAGAAAAATGTGTATGCAGTGCTTATTGCATGAATAATAAATACACTATTTTCCATAGTTAGGATTGAATCCTGCTTCCAGTTATGTCAGCGGGAATTGCACTATGGACTATGCTATTAAAAAGGTGTTAGAGCTACGTGTGTGTGTTGTGCTAGCTCAGATCTGAATGAAATTAAGAGATGTATTCACTCCCTAGGTGTGTAATGCTTATCATATGGTCAGTCAGTATTTTTTATTTTACTCATTTTTGAATTAATGGACTTCTTAGCAAGCAGAGCTCTTTGCAAATGGTATGAGAAAGACTGCATTCCACAATCACATTGTTAGCGGGCTGTAAAAATGTAGTTTTTTCTGAAGTCTCTAAATATACGATTGTTACAGATGTGTGATCCACGATACGTTTCCTTCAGGCCAAACTGGAGTATACATTTCTGTTCGCAATCACGTCAAAAAAGAGTGCTTTTGTTGCACGTCAAAAATAACAAGCAAGGTTGAGAAAGTCGTGACATTAGGGAACTACTCCAAAAGAGGTGTTGGTGCCTCCTGTTTCTATTAGTGGAATTTCAGGAAAAATGAACACCGTGGAACGTGCTTAGCACCTCAGAGAATTGGACCTTTCCGCTCTGTCTCCCATCAGGTGTGTGTACGCCATTTGGCATACGTTTAAGAGGGTTTGACCTACAGTACTGAAACTAATTTGGTAACTCCTCTGTATGGTATTTTGATCCTCACTGTGTGCAGCTGTTCCTTTACCTTCTTTTGTAATACAGAGTAATAATAAAAAAAGTTATCAAGTGTTAAGACTGAAAAAAAAAAAAAAAAAAGGTGGCCAATTCTTTCTGTATTCAGCAAGTGAAACAAATGTAGTGCTGCCAGACGTAACGGTAGTAAATTTTTATCCTCTTAAAATAGCGTTTTGGAAAGAGCAGCTTATTTTTCATCATGGAAATATTAAATAGTAACATGAGTTTGCTCTTTTAAGTAATCACTTATCATGAAGTACTTATTTTGGATTTACTTCAAAATCTAGATTGTAAGAGAGTAAAATCTATATCCTGAGAGTAAGAGATACAGTACCTATTACTGTTCTGCTGGTTATTTCCAAACAAAAGTACATGCTTTATATGAATTGTAAATATTTGTTGAAACAATTAGATGGTTGCAAATTTTGACCTTGGTAAATAAAGTCGCCAAAATATAATTCTGATGTTCCTTATTTATTTTTAATTAACGTAATAACTGCAGTGGTTCTGACCAAACGTGCATACATTGTGTGATATCAGGTCTTTTACAGTGGCCAAGAATAACTATTCAGTCTATGAAGCAGCACCCAGAGATCTTTTATCTGATGTGTCCTTTCAGTAGTCAGAGTACTAGGTTATTTGTGCATAAATTTTAGTCATCACTGAAAATAATTAGTGGAGAATACTTTTTATCTTTCTGCAGGTTTTTTTCCTTTTTCGTTTTCAGTAAGCAGAGCCCCTGTTCCCTGAAAACATTTTGTGCCCTGCGGGTATTCACCCAGCAGAGGGAGTTTCTCTGACATCTACAAAGTCGTGGTGGTATTACTAAGTGGTGCTTAAGCTTCTGATAGCTGGAAAAAGCATAGAAATAGGGTAGGAAAAAAGTCTTTTCAGTTGGTAACATTTCTATATTCAATTTTATTATTAGGGTCAAGGCTGTTATCATTTCCTCTGCTGTTGGAATGGATATCGGAGGCAGAAAACAAAAAGGATAACACAATTGCAAACATGACTTCTGAAAAAATGAGTGTATGTCCTTTGGCTCTTAGATTCATTCTGAAACAGGAGTTAGCTCTCTTTTTCCAAGTTTTAACAGGCAGACCAGACCTCTGTGGTGGTGACGCAGCAGTTTGTCCCTTTAGAAAGTCTACGCAAGTGCTACACGTGTCGCAGTCAGAAGGATGGTAAGTGTAATGCTCATGGGATTCGCAGCTGTGTTACTCAACAGAAGTTCAGATTTTATCCATCTTCCGTACTGAGATAAACGGACATAGATCCCAGGAAATTTTGGTCGGCCACAGCCGTGTCCAAAACTAGCAATCCCTACCAGATAGTATTTGTTGGTACTAGGGTGATAGCACGCTAAAGGTCCACCGCTGTCTCCCTGTAAATAAACAATACAAAAAAACAGTAACATATATTCCCTTCCAGGAAACAATGTAGAATTAAGTCAGTAATACATCCACTTTTTTTTTTTTTTAAATCAGCTGAGTTAACTGGATAGTAATAATGACAGAAAGACATGGATAGTAGTACACAGACAAATTAAGAGAAAATTTGGTGATGCTGGGTGATACTGCCTTGACTAGAATGCCACGCCGGCGTTCGTTTCAGTGTCTCTAACTAAAGTTCTGTTGTTTCTCTTTCCGCACCTTTTCATTCTAAGGCTTGTCTCCCCAAACTTTCTCGCCCATCAGTTCATATGAGAATATACTGTCCACACAGTGTCTAAGTACCACAAAACACGGTAATGAATACACAACCCTGAAACTTTGCCATATCACCTACTTAAAGGAAAACTGCTGAGGAAAGCAGGAAGTGTATCAGACGGAGTACTTACGCATATGTTACGGTTTTTAATTATAAATGTCTTCATATCACAACTGGTCCCCCAGCTTTTGCAGGCTAGTGCTTTTGACCTGAGAATTGTCTTTTCTGAGAAAGAGATGCTGATTGCTCAGCATTTAAATAAAAATCTTACCGTATCACTGAACCATATCCTTTTCTGATGATGCTGCTTTCTTTCAAAAGCATAAAACTGGGCAAGATGCTTGTGTGTTTCACACACGCCACATATGTACAGTGATAACGTGTGTGTGTCTGTGTGTATCCAAACGTATGTTTGTGTAATATATAATTTAATGACATCTTTGTGACAAGTGTATAAATATGTTTGCGTTCTTTATCCTTTAACTTACTCTTGTCTTCCAAGTATCACTGAATTCTTTATGTATGTTTTCGAGATGTGTTTTTTCTTTGGAGTCACCACCTCGCCTCTTTCTATTTATGATGCTTCTTTTGGAGTTTGACATGTTTTCTGTTTAGTATTTTAATTATCCTCCAAATGCTGGTCATCACGGTGCCCCTGAGACTCTGGCTTGGGGGTTTCCATAGTGGCAGGTCAGGTACAATGTCCATTCTTACCTGACAGGTATCGGTGCCTCCTGATCGAGAGCCAGCACAAATCATGTTGTCGTTAACCAGGCCTCCGTATGCATCAGAACTGTTACAGGTGCTAGAAGGAATGATTTCCACTTGTGCTGCTTTTAACACAGCTGAAGTTTTACCTTTAATGGAAGACAGTATATAGAAAGGTAAAATATTTATGCTGTTGTCTGTAACAATTCTTACTGTGCTCTTTTTTCCCCTCTTGAGCTAGCTTAAGCATGTTTCTGTACATGTTTAGACACGTACATAATATAGAGATTGTGCCTACTTCTAACGGATTTAAACTTAAGTGGGTTAAGGATTTGCAGACGTGGATTTGATGTAGTTTTTGCAATTCTTACTCTGAGAAAACATCAATGATAACAATACTGCTTGCTAGCCTTGCTCAAGATGCCAGAGGTGGCTTATCAAACAAGCTTTATATGATCCCCAGCTGTCCTTGAAATTTCCGCACAAGAAAGATGCACACCACCAACTGACACCATAGCAAGTTTGTGCTCATTAAAGAGAGAATTTGAGGGAGTGCAGGTGTTCAAGAGTATGCGGGGACCCCTAAGTTCACAATGCACAGTATCAGAATTGTTGTTTGACAATTAAAAAGCTGTTTCTAGCGGACAACATTGAGTAGCTGTACCGTGAGTCTGAAAGTCAGGCTAGTTTATTTTCCTTCTTTTGTGTTGCACTTGGAAGAAAGGCTAGAAAATGTATGCCTGTGGTTACACCTGCATAGATCTAATCTGCTTGCAATGGAAAAGACACTGAAAGCAGATCCTCAGTTGCAGAAGGATTTAATGATGACGTGTGATGAGACTGTAACCTGAACAAATTCAGTTCTCTCTTGGCGAACTTGAGAGACTGGAACCCGGTATTAGTTACGTAGCTTATGACTTGATCAGCAACAACGCGAGCAGATTTTTACCTTTTTCTGCTGTCTGTCCCCAGCCGCTAATAAAGCATTCTGTTGCGTTCTCAATGTAGGGGTACAGGTGTGCAGGAGGTAAGCAGACAGGCTGAATATAGTCACTGTAGCGTACTGCAGAATCAAGTTCAAATAACGCAATATCATTTTCCAGTGTTCCTGTCTTGAATTCTGGGTGCACAGTGATGCTTCTAATACTTCTTTTTGCTGTGTGTTGACCATGTTTCCAAAGGTTATGCACACCCAAAACAGCTCTCCAGTAACGCGGGTCCCTAAGACACAATTCATGTATTTTTTACAATTATGTTAAAGTAAATACGTTTCTTGAAGGCATTGTTGTTTTAACTGATTGTTTTACTGTTGGTTTATGCACCTTTAGGAATATACCTTGAAAAATCCATAGTACATATTTTCTGGAACAAATTCAGCTAATTACCATTGTCTGTTTTGAACACTCTGCCTAATGCTGGTTATGGCCATTAAGGTGAATTCAGAGTAATGATTTAAGCTGATACTCAGATTTTGCTTGCCACCCCACCCCAGAGGCCACCTGGGAGATACTTCTTTTTCAAAAGAGGAAAAACATGGATTTATTTTGCAGAAAGGAGGTAGGCTTATACCCACAGTGCTTATAAAGACTGTGTTTGTACCTAGATTTGGGAATCTGTTAACTAGAAGTTACAGATAATGAATATCAACTTATATTAAATTTAGAAATAGGGCCGGAGTCATTCAGACCTAATTTCCATTCCAGTAGGTTGAAAAAAATCTTTACTAAGTGGGAATTGAATTTGGCCTGTGATGAGCAAAGGGCAGGCTATAAAATTCAGATTCACCTCCCAAATTCTCCAGAGTGTAAGATAAAAATTAACTTGATTTATTTGCGATATACTGCCTCTCTAAATTAATGTTTGTGAAAGTACATTTAAAGAAATAAGGAGCTGATCTAACAAAGTCCTGATAAATGAGAAAATTCCAAAGTACAGATATTTTTATAGTTCAGTTTCCCGCAGGTCATGGTTATGTCAACACAGTCCATTCCATCTTGCGTGAACTAGTCTGCAGATTTTGCAACTATGTTAAAGACTACAGAAAAGACAACAGTCATGAGACAGCTGAAATGCAGCAGAATTGCTGTAAGTACAATTAAAAAGCCTGTTCTGAGGAGCGTTATTACCAATATTTTGTCCAAAAAAAAAAAAGTTAAGTGCCAAATTGTTCATTCTCTTAAATAGGAAAAATGGAAATAGTGTTAAAACTAATGAATTGTAATGTTTCTGATCTAAATATTGCAACATTTTCTTTTTCCAGTGAGCTTTACTAGTTTAGAAAAATCTATTAATCAGAAAAGTTAGAGCTCCATGAAAAGAAAAAGCCTCCAACCTAACAACAGTGTCACCTAGATCAAAACCAAACAACCCTTTATGAAAAATAACAAAGGTTGTTCTGGCCCAAGCCAGAAGTGCATATCCAAGACTTCTTGATGCATGAAGATGTAACTCTGCAGCCCGTGCTGGGCTGGCAGCCGTCACCACACACGACCATTACAGCAAAGGTGACAAAGGGGACACTCTTCGGTCCTTAGAGCCACCACCAGTCCCTCCTCGGGGCCGCGTCAGTGAACAGGAGTTGCATAGTCTGGGTCTGCACATTGGTTCTGCACTGTGAGAGCTCGGCCCGTCTACGTCCAGTTGATTTGCCCTCTGTTCAGAGATACCACAGGTGATGCTTTGCTTGATCCACTTACACCCTCCTCATAGTTAGTAAAAAGAGGTAACGCGTGAATACATACTTCCTTCGTGTAACGCAGTGGGCAGCGGTAAGTACTGAATTCTCATTAACTAAAACTCCACCGCAAATGTGTGCAAATCGTACGCCAGCCCGGTGAATCTGGAGGCTAACCGACCACGGCCACGCTCCCAGCTGGGCGTCGCGTCCACCTACGACGCGGGATCCTGAGATGCTGTCTAAGAGCGGCCGTTGTCCGCACTCTGCAAAACAGAAGGGAGTCAGTTACATTGTTCAAACTGAAAAACAGAGCTTTTGGTGCGCTCACAGCACATTGGGGGGTTGTTTGGGTTTGGGTTTTTTTTAATCTACAGTGTTACTTGCTGCAGGGCTTTTGATGTTAGCGGCTGGAGCCCAGCTTCTGGGGATGCCTGGACTGTTTTCTTAGGTTGCATGAAAGGTGTGCGTTTCCTCTGGTTACAGACGTATTTCTGGTGTACGGATGTGTTGTGTACAGTGAGGGTAAGGGGGTGCCGGTCGCTGCTGCGTTACGAATTCAGCTGACCTAGGGGTAGGTGAAGTTCTTCATGCGCCGGTGGG